GCAGTCAGCCTGACTGCCAGATCGGGGGCCAGCTCCAGGCCTTCGCACAGGCTTGGAGCCTGACCACCACGGACCAGTGGGTGTGAACAATCATTGCCCAGAGCTACAGAATAGAGCTCACTGGTTCACCCCCTCACAGCTTCACCCCATCACCAGCTCCAAGACACAAGGAATGACTATGACAGCTGAGGGAAGCAATTCTACACCTCCAAAACATCGGCGCTATAGAAGAAGTACCTCTTGGAGAATGCTTCAAGGGAGTATACTCCGTTCTGTTCATTGTTCCAATGAAGTCAGGGGACTGGAGAGCGGTACTGAACTTGCGAGGACTAAACAGATGGATGGCAAGAAGGAAGTTCTGGATGGAGTCCCTCCGTCACATCTTACAAGTATTGTAGCAAGGGGACTTCCTGGGAAGGGAACTCCATTGCAGCAAGGGAACTCCATGGACCTCAAGGAGGCATACTTGCATATTCCAATACACCCTTCCTCCCGACAATTCCTGTGCTTCTGCTTTCAGGAACACCATTTCCAGTACAAGTCCTTGCCCTTTGGCCTCTCTTCGGCCCCCAGAGTTTTCACCAAGGTTATGGTTACTCTGGTGGCATCCTTGAGCCTGGAAGGGATCTATATGCACTCGTACTTGGACGATGTCCTTATACGAGTGGGGGATTACCAGACGGCAGTCCGCAACACTCAGAGAACACGGGAGTTCCTGTGTGCACACGGCTTCCTCATTAACGAGGAGAAGAGCCACCTTACACCCACGCAAGACTTGGTGCACCTAGGTGCAAGACTAAACACAAGGCAAGCCACAGTTTTGCTTCCAGAGGAGAAGCAGCTCAAGATCCAGACCGTAGTGGCAGAAGTCAGGACAAAGGAATGAGTAGACCTCATGCAGCTAGCTGCACTACAGGGCCTGATAATTTCAACGATCGACTTGATCCCATGGGCGTGGTTCCACGCCAGGCCCTTGCAGTGAACCCTCCTTCCCTTCCAGGGGGACATCGCCAAAAAATGACACCTCCTGATAAGTATCTCGGAAGGGCTGCGAAGGGAGCTGCAATGGTGGACGCAACCATCAAACTTGATCAACACTGTCTGCTTCCTCTGGCCCTAGCAATTTGTGATAACCACAGATGTGAGCAAGAGAGGCTGGGGTGCACACTGCGATCACCTCGTCACACAGGTCAGGTGGTCCTTGGAACAGGCCTCCCACAGCATCAACTGGCTGGAACTCCAGGCAGTCACACTAGCAGTGAGGGCGTTCCAGAACCACGTACAAAACCAGCACGTACTAGTGCACACGGACAACATGTCCACCAGAGTGCACATCAACCAGCAGGGTGGCACCCACTCGAGGTCTCCCTTTGCAGAAGCCAGAACCCTACTACGATGGGCAGAGAAACACACCGTAAGCATCAAGGCGGAACACTTGAAAGGCCTAGCCAACCTCCAGGCGGACTGGCTCAGCAGAGAGGAGCTGGACCCGGGCGAATGGCCATTGAACAAGGAAGTCTTCGCCCAGCTCACACAAAGGTTTGGAATTCCGGTGATAGACCTCCTAGTGAGCTCAAAGAACCACCAAGTGGAGCGTTTCCTCTCCAGGTACCAGGAACTGGCCACGGAAGGAGTCGACACGTTATCCCACCCCTGGCCAAACGGTCTCCTGTACGCCTTCCCTCCTACAGCCCTAATAGGGACAACGCTCCACAGAATCAGATGGGAGAGGGCCACTTCACTGGCCAAGACTGCCATGGTTCTCGGACCTGGTTCAACTGGCTGCCGAGAGACCGTGGACACTACCTCGGAAACTGGATCTGCTGCAGCAAGGGTCCATTCTTCACCCGGACCCAACATTGTTACAACTGACTGCATGGAAATTGAATGCACACAGCTAGAGGACAAGAGATTTCCCAGTGAGGTGATTGAGGTCATGCTGCAAGCAAGAAGGCTGTCCACCCGCTGCATCTACAGTCATACATGGAGGACTTTCGTAAGCTGGGCCTCCGCACATCGGATACACCCTCTGCGGGCCACGAACAAGGAAGTCATTCTATTTCTATCTGAGGGATGGCGAAGAGGACTACAGCCAAACACGCTGAAGCGACAAGTGGCAGCCATACAAGCATGTCTGGGACACGAGGCACGAAGGAAGGTGTCCACAAGCCGGTATGTTTCTGAAGGGAGTAGACCAGCTGGCTCCCCTGGTCTGGCATAGGTTCCCGACATGGAGTCTCCACAGAGTATTACGCGCCTTATCTAAGCCACCATTTGAACCAGTGAAGACATCCGAGTTCCGCCTTATGTCATGGAAGGTCACCTTTCTTATCGCGGTGACTATGGCCAGAAGGGTCTCCAAATTGGCGGCACTATTACCACGGAAGGAGCTTTGCATTTTCCAGAAAGACACTGTCGCTTTGCAGATGGATCCATCCTTGATACCCAAGATAAATTCGGCCTTCCACCTCAACCAGCCTATTTCGCTACCTTCAGTCTGCCCAAGTCCTACGCACCCTAAAAAGAAGAACTGGCACAAGCTAGACGTACGTAGGGCTCTACGTATATATCTAGACAGGACAACTGCCTTTCGATGGTCAGACGCATTGTTCGTGGCATACGGTGCCCCCAATCAGGGCAAAAAAGTCTCCAAGACCACACTGGCCTACTGGATCAGACAATGTATTACCAAGGCCTACGAGGTGCAAGGAATCACACCCCCAGCCCAACTGACAGCACACTCCACGAGGGCGGCAGCAACGACAGCAGTCTTTTCCACATGAGCCACTGTTGAGGAGATCTGCAGAGCAGCGACCTGGTCGTCTTTTTCCACATTTGTGAGACACTACAGAATGGACCAAGTGGCCTCAGCTGCGGCTGCGTTTGGCAGGAGAGTTATTACAGCAGGTCATGAAGTCATGAATTACCAAAAAAAAAAAAAGAACCAATACGGTTCAACCACATGATAGGATCAGTCACCCGCCCAGAACAAGAGCTCGGGTACAGCTAGCCAGTTCCTGGATGACTTCCCCCCACTGAAGGAGAACGGTACATTGGACCTACCTGAAGGTTCTTTCTCTTCAGTGGGGGAGAAGTCATCCACATCTCACCCGAACAGGCTACGAGGAGAAGGCCAGGGTGGCAAAATCAGGAGGACTGCAACAGCACAACTTACAGATACCGTGGACTTAAACGAAAGCATTGGGTGACAGCGATCCATGGTCAGTGCTTGGACATGACTGGAGTGGTCAGCCTAGGCCACTTCAATAGGAGCCACACAATAAAAGACTTTTGCATAGCCCATCGAGCAAGCAGAGGTGTGACCTAACCAGTTCCTGGATGACTTCTCCCCCACTGAAGAGAAAGAACCTTCAGGTAGGTCCAATGTACCGTTTTTAACACTGGTGAACTCTCTGTCCATTGAGGTCAGTACAGTCTTCTGTAAGTAGCAGTGGTTTTTCTGGGATCTCAGGCAGAGGTCTTCTATATCACTTTCTACCAGATCCTTTCATCTGCTAGAGATTGAACTTGAGATCTTCTGCATGAGTTTATTGAAGGAAGAGAAGACAGTTGGATTGGATAAGACAGAAATGGGTTGCATGTCAATACAAAATAAAAATTGCCATTTCCAGCCTTTTTTTGGGTAGAAATAGTTACATTCTAGTATACCAGCCTATGCAGGACTGGAGTCCCTCTTTGGTTTCCTTCATGCTTGGTTTCCATATGAGAACTTCAAGATGCTCTGGAACAGGCAGTGTGTTTCTCTGTCTTTGGGGATTTGGCTTACTGTACCCACATTCATTATCCTTTCATCATGCCGTTTCATTCCAACTGCATTTGTACCAGGTAAAATATGTAGTTTCACCCTTTCTAGCTGGCAGAAAACATCACATCATTTTGTAGAGAAATTACTTAAATATAGCTGTTAGTAGTTTACAAATATTGGTTTGTGATATAGGGAGGTGTCATGATGATCTTATTGTTTGTATATTTTCCTTGAATGGTGTGGTGTGTTTTTTTTTGGGGGGGGGGGAGGGTTTGGCTCATTTTAGCTGCATTTGTCCTCTCTGGACCATGCCTTTAGGTAGCGGTGTCTGAGTTCCTTTGTTGAATCCCCATACTTCGCTTCTCCAAACCTAATTCCTTGCTATTGGCCATTCTCTGCAAAAGCAGGAATCAAAAACTGCTGATTAGAGGCCAACATCCAGGGGAGAGGTGGTGCCCTAACCAGCTCACTTAAAACCCCATTGAACAAGAAATCCCTTGCATTTCCTGTGGAACTTGGAAAGGGAGTAGCCATCTATAGGAGGAGTGCAAGAGCTCTACTCAGATGGACTTCTCAAGACTACTGTAAGTTGAAGCTAAGAAAAGTATTGTCAGAATTGTTAATTTTGGAAACTGTTTGCAACTCTGTGTATGTTTGCTCTTGCTTTCACTCTTGCCTTTGGTTTTCCTTGAATCCTCCAAGTATCCCATTTATACATTTACTTAAAACATTTTTATGCCACCTTTCCACCCTGATTAAGGTCCCCAAATTTGCATCTTTTCTTTTCCTTACCTAAATAAAGCTTGTTTTTTCCACCGAAGCCATGGCTCCCTTTATCCACTGAGTGAATACACAGCTGATAACTCAAGGCTTGCATTGTGGTGTTGTGTGTGTGTGTGTGTGTGTGTATAATGTATTTTCAGCAGCTGAAAGCAGGGAAGATTGGGGAAAGAAGGTGGAGGGATCAGAGTTGTTGCTCCCTATAGTACCTGACCCAATCCTGCACAGGAGCATAAACAAAGTCTAGGTAATGTTACAGAATGTGCTCCTGGGTACTTTGGTGGGGTGATCTCTTCAGTACTGCTTGAATTACATCAGTTCCTTCAGAAAAGCTCTAGTTTTAAGCTATCACCGAAGTATATTACCACCAGACAACTGAGCCCTGTTGTGTAAATGTGCATATGGAAGGGGTATCTCATGGGAAATAGGTAACTCTGCAATCTCTGTTCCCTAGAGCTGAATTCATTTCAAAGAAGAATGGCGTGGACATTGTTTCTCAGCATGATCTGCCGAATGGCCGTATTCGCTTTCCTGTGTCTCCTAATGAGGCCAAAACAATTACTATACTTGTCAAAAATGGTGGGACTCATGATGTGACTCTATGCACCTTCAGAACCTTGCGTAAAAGTCGTGAGTTAACCTTTGTGGTATCCCAGCCTCCGCCTCTAAGACTTCTATCAGGTAACACTTGTATTTATTTGTTGAAATGCATAGCTTGGGCTGAGTAGCAATGGGAACTGAGAAGGGAAAAATTAAAATCCTATTGCAGTCAAATTAGACGTGTACTAAGAGAGCACATAATAAGCTGCTGGAAATTGGACATTATAGTTTAATGGGTTGTTTTTGGTTTTCTGCGTGTCTGCAGTTAAAAGGGGCCTGGGTGGTTATTGAACAGTGTTTGGAATGTAATCCAGGGAGAGCTGGTAGTGGGCCTATGCGATTCAACAGTTTTTAGCCACGGGACTCTGGATAGAACAGAATTATTCAGTGTGGTTTTTTACTGAATGCCTTTTTGATTTAGCTGACATACCAATCTCCAATAACATATCACTATGAGGTTAACAAGTAGGGTTTCCCCTGATTTTGAGAGCTCCAATTCACCAGCTGGCCGGCAGGGGGAGCCCCACCATGCCTGACATGATGCTATCACCCGCAGGGGACGCTCGTAGTATTTGGCTAAAAACTCTTATGGTGACCATAGAGTATTTGGCCATACGCTAGAGTACCCTCTGCACAATGTGCCTGGCACAATGACATCACTTCTGAGTGATGTTATTGTGGTGCATGCGTTTTGTGCATGCACAGGGAAATCCCAGGAAGAAGCATGGCACCTCCCACTGACAGAAGGTAAATCACCTGGCAACCGTAACACAACTTTTGGTGAATTATTTGTTTAAAAAATAAGCTTACGTAGGTCTGGGCAATACACTCAATTTTGGAAAAATAATTTTCTGCCAGGCTTGTATTCAGTAGTATTGAAGTCCCCACAGTATTAGGGTCAGTGAAAATACCCTGTTTTCCTGATTCTGCACTTCCAAACTCATCAGAAATTTGAATTCAAAATCCCCCCCTTAATTATTTACGCATTTTTGCCCCTTTATGTTTTCTGTATCTTCCTAGCTTCTGTATAAGATAGGTATGTATAGCTGTATAACACAGGTATGTTAACACTATTGTCTGACATTTTGTAGGTAAGAAGCAGCCATTTGTCTATTTACAGATACACAATAAATACTTTTTAGAATCCACAATAAACAGTTGACATCTTCTGTGCCCTTAATGAACCTTTAATGTATTATCTGATTGAAAACACCTCATTCCCTAGCCTGAAGGGCTCATATCTCCCAATGGCTA